AGTAGTTTTCATTAAAAAAGATCTATGAGTAGTGTTCAAAGTATGGAAGAAAAAAAAAGGTTTCACCTCACAAATGCCGATGCTAAAGAACAACGAAAAACGATCGGGTCGACTACACGCACGAGCTATCTTGCAATAGCCTCCATCACCCCAGTTTACACCCCGCGAGTTTCTTACAATCCAATAGTTTGTCTTAGCCTTGTCGTTAGTCGTCCCGTAACCAACGATCAAGACGGCATGAGTTGGGATATTAATGGTTGTCTCTCCTTCCTTTCCCTTCGGAGTGGCAGGTCGAACGACAAGTGAGGTGCCTTGGAAAATCTCCGGAACCTACCAATATAATTCAAAGTATATCAATGTACATAACTTAATAAGCCACTAAACGATCGAATGTACATTCCCTTAAAATCTCCGGAGTCAAGACTTGTGACCTTCCCTTTGAGTTCTTTGATACAAACCAACGTTTCTATCACTATCTTTATATTTATCAGTGCAATATTCATTATTAAGTATTCAAGTAGTGTTAGGACTATATATTTATGTCTTATTCCTTTAGGATCTTTAAGCTGAACAATAGAAGTATTATCCCCAATCCTCATCTATCTTTCTCTCAATCCTCTGAATCTCACCTCATCCCCCTAAGATTGTCGTCAATTCTCTCACATTCTGCCCAATTATCTGATCTAAATACCTAATTCCCAATTATCATCGGACTCTCTTCTTAGTCCCTAACTCTATCTCTAATCCCCAAATCTCTCTCAATTCTCTTCTATCAGTTCCGGTTGTGATAACCTGACTATCAAATTCATCCAGGTTCTATTATTATTCTTGTACAGGAAAAAAGATCAGGCGATTGCTTACAGCTGATAACAACAAAGCCACCATATGTTAAGGAGTTAATGTAAACAGACCACTAATTAATTAGGAAAGATTCTGGTAGCCAATATTGTTCTGTGTGTTGTTTGTAGCAGCTGGTAGATATGATAATTAATACTTAAGAGAGTTTTGACTTTTGAGCCAACAATATCAATAAATAATAACAATAATAGTAATATAAACTAATATAATTAGAATAATAGAAGGAATTTGCGTGTATATATAACTACCATATTTGGTTAATTAAAGATTTAATCGAGTCACTTACCTTGCCTTTCCAATCGTGGAGAGCCTTTGTGTAATCCAAAACCCCTATAACAGGCTTCTCAAACACAAGTTTGAGAACTTCCTTTTCGTCCATTTTCTCCTTCACATCGTAATTGCCGGTAATTCTTCTTGCTAGTAAATCCAAAGTCTCCACATGCAAAAAATGAAAAAGTGTTAATATAATACAATTGTATATAGTTATAATCAATCATCAAACATCCAATATTCATTACCGCATCTCTTTTCTTGTGTTCTCCTTGCCAACCTTTGTACGTGTACTTCCTCTCTAGAACCAAACCAAACTTGCTAACGTGGTTGAGCACCGTGCTCACTCGGATGGTGTCCTCCTTGGTCAAATTCGACTTCACCCAGTCGATTAGTTCTTGAACACTGAGTGCGACCGAGTCGGAGCAATAGGCATGTTTGATGTTGCATGCTGCCTCTATACATGTAGAAACAGCATGGTAAGCGCAGGTCGCTGCAGTCAAGAGATCAAGAAAATTCACCCAACAGTTCAAAGCAATTTAGTACAGAGACACGAGATTATCCAGTATAAAAAAAATTATATACAATACTTACACCAGTCTCCTTGATCCCTAACCGGACTGACAATGATCTGCTTTCCATTCACTTGTTTCACCCTCCAATCAACAGACAACGGAAGATCTTCATTGTCACCATACAAATCCTTCATATACAGACGCGCAAAATCGATTAAGTACTGAATGAACTCAATTCACCACTAATTAAGAGCTAAGCAAAAGGAGAAGGTTATTATAGATAGAACAATATCCACACACAATAACGATTAGCTTGCTTCATGTTGATGATCCGGAAAGGAACAGAACAAGTTCATCGCTTACACCCTACTGATAACATTCATTAACTACAAACAATCCTTGGACACAGAGCAATAACTATAGCGCTAAGAGTCTTCCAGGCAACACTACCCTAGGTGAAGTAGACGCGAAATGACCTTAGATGGGGTAACCTGCCAGGAGAAAAACGCAAAAGCAATTCAGCTCAATTCAATGTATATCTTTATAGCGAACGAAAAGAATGAGAAAAGAGTGCAGCAAAGATGAGATGGCAGCTCAATTCTCCGTAATGTTGTTGCATTGAAATTGATTCAGCAACCATAGAAAAAGCCACATGCATTGCCTAAAGATGCATACCCTAATACACCATGCTTATAAAAACACCATACAACAAGCCAGAGCAAACTGTTCAATACAGAATTGAACAAAGCTAAGCTAGGCTGGAATGCATCGCAAGTTGTTACCATAGAAGCAGCTAGCATACTGAAAAGAAAGGCACACAGCCACCACTGATATGTACATGAAGAAAGGATTAGAGATATATTACATGCATATGTTAATGCCCGCTCTTCACGGCTCTCTCCTCGAATCTGCGTCTTCTCGCCTTTCACACGAAACAGACTCGTGGTGAATTCATCCATGTTTTCATGAACTTGAGCTTCATAGACCTTCTTGGCATTTTCAGGATCAGGAGACAGCTCGTCGGTAGCCTCGAATGTGATGTAGAAGTTCGCACCACTACAAGGTCGCATATTGGCCTTCAGAATATCACCAAGTTTCAGCTTGGACACCTATGGCAGAAACCACACCCAATGCAAACAGAGCCAAATCCCAAGTCAGGAACACAGAAACACCACCATACCAACAAACAAACAAACACAATTGCAAAAGGGAGGACGAAATTTAACGAACCCCTTTTTCTAGTGTGTTGTGTTCAGCAATGACGTGGTCCACAAAGGCCTTGACATTTTCGAACCAGTCAGAATCCAAGTCGAGCCGAACAACCCCGCATGCAATGTAGTCCACTGGCGGTACGTCGGTGAAATCAAATCCCTAATGAAAATCGGTAAAACTATTCAGAATGAATGATTGATTTGGGCGGAATAAACAAATTACCGGGCCTGATTGTAGAGGCTGTTGCAGCTATATACCTCACTTTCCTGGACCTGCTCGAAGAAGCGGCGATACTTCTCCACTCCCTCTTCGTCTTTAGGCCACCAGATTTTGGGCTCTAACATCACCTGACTCCACTCCTCCTCTCCGTCCTCCTTGTTGTCACCGGAATCACCGTCTGCGACCTCGACGTCGGTGCTTTTCTCGCCGCCGGCTTCCTCGATCTTCTGCCTCTTCGGCGATGATCCAGTTTCAGGGCCGGATACCGGGGTCGATTCGTCGCTCGAGGGTGGGAGATTTGCATCCAAAGGCAGAAGCGGCGGGTGTTGGCCATCATAGTCGGAACTCGGGACAGTGAGATCGGAATCCATGACCAGAAAAGGATTGCGAGGAAGTAAATAGGGAACCCTAGGCAGGGAGGAACACGAACGAAATTGGACGATTCTCAAATCTGTTTTCGGAATTGGGCATTTTCCTTCGACCCCTTCCCACACGTGTAGTAAGGGCATGTTTGGAGGATGCGATTCATACAATTGATGTATTCTATATTTCTATCAATTAGTGTATTGTAAATATATGCATTCTATCAATTGTTGTATTTGATAAATTCCTTGTTTGGTGTTGTATATTGTACTTTTCACATAGCCTAAAAATAGTACGCTTTTCATATTGATGGGCATAATTGCCCTTCACCAACTCCTTCCTTTATATCCATTCCAGGTTTGCGGGGAAGGCTATTAGGTAGGGTAAAGCAGCAGCGAGAGGAAAATAGAAGTGGGTTCCAACCTAATGACGGATAGTCGGATACGCGACAATTCCGGCAAATCCCCGACAACGACCAAGAAGAAATCTCTGTAATTTGCAAGTGCGACTCTCCTTTTATAATAAGACAAAAACTTTTAGGGATAAAAATGGAAAGAAAAAGTTGACACAAATCTAAAATCAACAATCACAACAATCTCAAATTTTAGTTGAGATTGTATAATACATCATTTTTTGTGATTGTTGGTGGGACCTACCTACAAGCCCGCGGGAGCTCAATCAACATTGTAACAAAGCTAGAGAAACTCAAAGAGAACAGGCACCCAGGGGCGGATACATGGGCCTCTAGGGGTGTCCCGGGACACCCCTAAAATTTGGGAAAACGATTATCTAACCTCTGGTAGTAGTTTCGTATGGGTATACAAAATATAATTGGTAATTCGGGACACCCTAACATTTGAAAAAATGATTATCGTACTCTCGATAATAGTTTGCTTATGATTAACAAAATATAAGTGGTAGTCTGTGTTATTCCAACCTAGGACACTACTATTATCAAACAAATTCTAATTATGTTGCTACTCATTTGTTATTCTATTTTAAACATCATGCAACTAGTAAAACGCTATTTCTTTATCCCCAACTATTTTCAATACCTAATAATTAAACTACGTACACGCTACCCTTAATTTTGAATTGATTTTATGGTTACACGGCAAGTGTTGAAAGAGTCTTTTCTACTTTGAGCTACATTAAGAACAAGGTTAGAAATCGAATATGTGATAAGTTCGTGAAGTATTGTCTAGTAGGACATGTAGATTTTTTTTGAACAGTGCAGACACAAAGTTTATTTATATTATTTTTTCAAAATAGGAAAACACATCATGAATTTTAATAAAAAATTTATACAAGTATGATATTTTTAATATATGAATTATTTAATTTATTATTTAATTAAAATTAATTTTTGAAGAGGACACCCCTCTTAAAATTTTCTGAATCCACCACTGCGGGCACCCACTTGTAACCATAGCATGAAGGAGGCAAAACTTAAACAAGATACAACAATACCATCATTCATAACAATTTCATTAACAAAATCTACAAGCCCGAGGGAGCTCAATAAACATTGTAACGAAGCCAGAGAACTCAAAAAAAAAAAAACAGGCAGTTACAAGTTGTAACCATAGCATGACGGGAGCAAAACGTAAACAAGCTACACCAATACCATCATTGATCATAACAATTTCAGCAACCAAAAAGGAATTATGACCAGTAGAAGTTCAACATTAAACCTCAGATTGCATCATTCGATCACAGGTAGGTGAGTATGCGGTCTGGCTTTACTTTAATGAATCCCTTCTGGCCTTTCTCACGAAACACTGTCGTGGATAGTCCGCCGCCTGTAACGTTGCGGTAAACCTCGGCCTGGTAGATCTTCTTGGAAGCATTGGGATCGGGAGACAGCAGGTCAATAGCCTCGAAGGTGATGTAGTAAATCTGACCAGCGCAAGGTGCCCAATTGGCCTTCTCAATATTCCCAGCCAGCAGCTCCGAAACCCCCTTGTTTTCTTTGTTGAACTCCCCAGTCACGTATTCCACACAGTTGTTCACGTTTTCTTTGTGAAAGGGATGGTTCAGGTCGATCGGCAGAACCCCGCTCCCAAAGATGTTCACCGGAGGAAGTTCGCCCACATCAAATCCCTAATTTAGACGACGAGATCAGAATCGGAACAAGTTAATACGGCTAACAGAAAGCCCAAATCTACGTTACCTCACTGTCCTTAACCCGATCGTAGAAGCGCTCCATCTCCTTCATTCCTTCCTCGTCCTTAGGTGTCCAGATTCGGGGCTTCAGCCGCTTCTGTTTCCAGACCACGGGATGCTCAGGCATTACCCACTCAATTTCCACTTCCTCTTCGTCCTCGTCCTCTTCATCACCACCGCCGCTACCATCACCATCGGCGATGACCTCGTCGCCGCTGCTGCCACTGGCTTCCTCGACCTTTTGCTTCTTTGGCACCGATTCAAGCCCAGTTTCGCTCGAGCCGGAGCCGGAGCCCGGGGTGGAGCCGTCGCTTGAAGGTTCGGGATTTGCATCCAAAGGCAGAGACCCGAGTTGCTGGGTATCCATGGCCGAAAACGAGAGCGAGAACCCTAGGGTAGGGAGGGAAACGAACGAAATTGGGGATCTCGATTCTGAAATCTTCTAATTAGGGATTTGTATTCGGCCAGCGTTTCAGTTTCACAGCTTACAAGGAATGTGAATCATGGATTTATTAAATCAGTCCCTGAATAGTTTTTGTTTCCTCTGAGGCTCCTTTAGGTTCTCAAATTTGTCTAAATGAGTCCCTTCTGTTATTTTTTGTAATAGACTAATAGTAGACCTTCCGAAGGTTCACTCGTGAAAATTTGGGTGGGCCTTCTTTTTCTTTCCAGGGAAACAGAAGGAATATATAAACCAAGCCCAGCCCATTCACAAGCCCACACCCGGCCTTCTTATCTAATGATTTCTTGTTGATTCAGGATACCTTTTGACCATAAAGAAACACTTTCCTTCCACTTCAGCCTATCCAATCGGCTCCAACAAGTTCAGTAAACAAGTACAAGGTTGTGAACCGGTTTAGCCCGTTGGTCAGATTGAACAAGTTAGTTGGGTGTCTATGGTTCGATCGCTTTCATCCAATTTAGATCAAAAATTTGAAAAATATGATTATATTATTTAAAATATTTATAAATTATATCAAATTTCATCATACATATAAGTAATGGCATATATATAAGAGGGACAGACCCAGGTGGAAGCTAGGACACCCCTAAAATTTGGGAGAAAAATTAAAGAACCCTCGGTAATAGTTTTAAGTATGGAAAAAAGAAGAAAAATAAATTTTAGTAAATGTGATTCAAATCTATAACATAGTAGTTATTAGTGAATATCTTTTCTAATTCGACTACATTTCATTTTTTATTGTAATTTTCTCATAAAAGTAGCTATAAACGTGTAGCTCTAATCTCCAAATTTCTCAAAGAGTAAAATTAAACCCACGAACTACCCTTTATCCCCACTGCTAACACACGATTTTATCCCGAAGAGTTTGATCACCTTTTTTATTTTGAGAATTATTATCATTGTGTTCATAATGATGAGTTATTTTGTGGATTAAGGGGAAATGACGAATTAGCTGAGTTGATTGTTGAGACAAAATTGAATCTATCATATTCGTGGGTCAATTTGCTACTCAAAGTTGTATTGATTTTACTGGTTGCAACTCCAAGTGTTGAGAGACATTATCGAGCTTAGGGTCAGATCAAGAACAAGTTTTGAAATCAAATAGCGACCAGTTCATGAATGATTGTCTGGTAGAATATATTGTAGGAGATTTGTTAAGAACTGCAGAGGGAGTCTATTTAATATTAATATTTTTCTTCAAAATATGATTCCACGTCGTTGACTTTTGTGTAACTTGTACTATTTGGATATTTTCATATTTAAGAACTTTTTTAAAATTTTGATTATTAGTTTAATTTAATTTTCAAAAAAGTAATTTCCAGTTTTTTTTAAGGGACACCCCTACATAAATTTCCTGGGTCCGCCACTATTATATAACATCACAACAAAATAACAGCTCGTACTTGAATCCAACATGCGATGAAAATTCAAACCCAGCTCGTACTTCGCAAATCAAAGGGGGGAAATTGACATTGTATGACCTCCAATTTGAGAACCTTTCTGATGCATGCAAGTAGGCCGAAAAGTGTGTGACACCGGTTTTTCTCGCTGGGTCGGGGTCGTAACGTGTCAACCCGCCGGTAGACCAGGGTTGACACAACCTTGTCGTTTACATCAGCATATCCCAACCTAATTAGAATCAAATGTGTGGTAATTGATTAAGTTACCTTATATATAAAATGATTCCATATATAATTTGTCATATAAAGGTACATATATAGCAAGCCATGCATTTTGCGTTGCATGTGTTTCCATTGATTTTTTTTGGCAGTATGTGCATGCGTGACTTAATTATTGAAAACCCAATACGTTACATAACCCCAACCATGCAAAAAAATAAATAAATGCAAGTGGTAGACCAATGTTCTGTCTCCCTTTATGAAATTCTTTGTTTGTACCAGGATCGATCCGAGGTTTCTTGAAACATACAAAAAGGGTTACATTTATTTTAAGTGGCGGGACCTTATAGTTCGATACCTTTATTGACAGATGTTCGTTTCCTTTTACATTTTCATGCACAAGTACCACTAGGGGTGTCAGTCGGTCGGTTTCGGTTTAACCGAAAACCGATTTCTCGGTTATCGGTTAAACCGAGACACCACCTCTGACTACCGACCACCGACCGTGAAAGAGACAACGGTTAGCCGACCACCGACCCGGTCGGTTATCGGTTTTGGTTCGGTTACTGCCCACCCGAAAAACACACCCTTTTCTTCAAAAAATTAAAAAAAAAATATTAAAAAAATCCCAAAAATCCACCACCACTTAAATCTTATCTGTTATCTCCTTCCACCTTCTCTCTCCTTCCTTTCTCCCTTATCCGCCCACCACTTCCTTTCCTCCTTCTCTCTCCCACCACCACCAGCAAGACCTCGCCCTTTGGCTTCTTCTTCCTCTTCCACTCCTGATTCCCCTCCCCCTTCCTCCTCTTCCACCAAGCGACGGAAATTCAACCACCGCGGCGCCGCCGGAGGCAGAGTACACGAATTTACGAGTGGAGGAGGCGACTCGGCGACTAGCACGGCAGCATGCGATTCGAGTTTCAGTCGCCGGAGCGGAGAGATCAAGAGGTGTTTTACAAGCCCTAGCCCGGCGGCGGAGGATGAGGAGGAGGAGGGAGTTGATCGGCTCTGCTCCGACGATTCCTGCTGCTCCAGTAATGGATCGAGCGAGAAGCGTCTGAATTCACAGATCTGCAGGTGAGAAAGAAAAGGACGGCGAAATTTTGGAGAATTCGGGTGATGGTGGGTTGACGGCGACGCTGTGGGAGTGCGGGACCTGCCGGTGGAGGTTTGAAGGGAGAGCTGAAGAGGAGAGTCGAGAGGAGAAGAAGAGATGAAGAAGGTAGGTGGCTGCAGGGGGAGAAGGGGGTTAGGGATTTAGGGTTACACTTGGGGGGGACGGGGTCGTTTTGGGAGGGATGGGGAGTGGGGCGGTTAGCCGGTTAACCGGCGGTTTTCACCGTCTGTTAATCGGCTAACCGCCCCACTACCCAACCTTCTCGAACACCGACCGAGGGACAATGCAGACGGTTTTTGGTTAGCCGAAAACCGACCGATTTCGGTTAAAACCGGGGGTTAACTGCTAGCCGAACACCGATCCGCCAGCCCTAAGTACCACTATAAGGCATGTGATGTCCATTTCAACATTATTCCACTATCTACCCCACTTTCCAAACCTTCCTTTCCACATATATACAGTGGATATTGTTATCCAGTTTAGAATTTGGACCAATACCTTATTTTGACATGATCTTTGACGGGGAATGGATCAAGTCAGTAACCTTGTGGTGAGTAAGCATGAGTAACTCGTCCACATCAGCATGACATCAGCATCCTCTCTCTCATGGAAAGCCTTTAATTTTCCCCTCTTTAATCTTTGACGGACGATTTCTCGCTCATTTTAAGTCGAAATTTAATTTTCTTTTGCACAGTTAGATCAGATTAATTGTGCTCTTCAAAATGATATCCACTTTAATATATTTTTCGAACAAAAAAAATTGAGTCATTTTTTACCAGCCTATACCATATGGTATTGACTGGTATTGAAATAAAAGCATACCTATGTTTTGAAAAACGTACCATGGTGGTATGAACAAACCAATACTGTAGGATGGTTGAATACATGATAGTAGAAGTATATTAATTATAATTTACGACTTTTAACATTGTATACCACACAATACCACCCCGTACCAGGGTGGTATTGTATGGTATTTTTTGGTCTTGTAATTTGTTCACCCAGAAATTTGTAGATCCAATAGATCATGATGAACTCGTCCCTTCTGTGCAAACGTTTTCAAAAACGAATTAAAAACGAAGAAGATACCATACAATACCACCCTGTACCAGGGTGATATTGTATGGTATTGTGTGGTATTTTTTGGTCCTGTAATTTGTTCACCCAGAAATTTGTAGATCCAGTAGATCATGATGAACTCATCCCTGCTGTGCAAACGTTTTCAAAAACGAATTAAAAACGAAGAAGATACCATATGGTATGCAGTTGGTACCGAGAGGCCAGAATTTTTTTTCTAAAAAAATATTGAAAATTGATCTCATTTTGTAGAGCACGGTGAACTCGTTCCATCTGTGCAAAAAAAATTAAAATCCGAGTTAAAACGAAAAAGATATGAGTCAATTAAGAAAGCTAGTGAAAATAAAAATAGCCTTTAATTCTCCATCCTTAGATCTGGATTTTTTAAATGAAGGGTTCAGATTTGGTTATTGATGGGTGCACCCTATCTTGAGCCTCTTTGACGTAAGAGATCATTTCGGCTTGAACTTTCAAATAATACCGTTTCGGCTAATTTTTTAAGTAAATGACGGGATTTGGCTCGTATTTTGAACCGACCGACAAAACTGACGGTCAAACAATTTTTTAAGTAAATGGCGGGATTAGGCTTGGTTTAATTATTCCTGAGCTTCCCGGAGAGTAAAGAAGGCCCAGGAGGAGACGGAAACCCTAAGACGCAAGTCGAAACCACCGCTGTATATTAATTACGAGATAGAAGAAGCTGCAGGGCAGCCGTTCACAAACACAAAACAATGGTCGAGCCAAAGGATAGGGTCTGCGAAAGGCAAGGGATGGAAGAACCTCCTTCCCCCAAAAAGCAAAAGACGGAAGGTGGTCCTGATCTTTTTCGGGATAAGCAGCCGCCGGAGCAGCAGGTTGCCGCGGCAGAGCCGCCGTCGGCCTCCTCCTCCTTTCCATGGGGCGATCCGTCGTCTCCTTACCCGGTGATTGGAGTCAATCCTGCATGCAGACATTTTGAGAAGATGCTCAAGTACCGGGGTGCTGAATTAGAGTGGGTGTCGTCGTAATTCACGTTTATGTTTGCTGTGTTTCCTTTCATCGATCTCTCCTAACTAATAGACATTATATATTCATTTATCTGATGTTCATTTGATTTGATTATCTGCTTGCTGGGTATTCCCAATGTTCATTTGATTTGATCTTGTGACGATGATCTGTACTGTCTGTAGTTCGCCGCCGGACAATGAAGAAATAATGAAAAAGGACAGCGCCTACGTAGCAAAAGCAGCTTTGGAACTTTACAACGGGAAGGAGGTATTGGGTTTGGTTTACTTTTTTCTCGTGTTTCTTAGTTGATTGCCCCCCTCGCCATTACTCGAATGATAGATCTTCGTTTCGTTGGATGATGAACAGGGGACGAAGTATGTGTTTGATGAACCCTTCCTCTGCTGTTGCAATCTCCTTCACCCTTTAGTGGTACTCCATGCCAACTTCACTGCTAGAGAGGAAAACAGCGATTCCAGTGACATGTTTTTTGGTGAGGCAGTACAATACCTTGGGGGAGGTTCCCAGGTTCTCAACTGTGTCAAGGTAGATCCTTTGGCAAAGGGTAAGTACTTATATATATATATGTTAGTGATGCATCATACATCCTTCATCTTAATTATCAAGCTTGCTGTGTAATTGCCCATCTTAATTGAATCGATCATCATCTTTTATTCGGGTAAGGTGATTGATTGATTGATTGATTGAGATTCTTGCTCATTTTGCTTCATGTAGGTGGTTACCGCAATGGTTGCGCCTATTGTCGGAAAGACATCATCCACCCTCCTGTTGAACACTGCGAGTACGGGTCGAATGCGTTGGTTGATCAGAAGAAGCTCCAGCACAAGACTGTGAAACCCAAATCATCCAAGTAGGAGGATTGAATTTCTGACTGCCCACTACCCTCTCCTTCCTATTGGCAACCTCGACTAGTAAAATTCCCCTGTTGGTAGCAGCAGCCCCATTCCAAACTTGGTTTAACTAATTATATGCTCTCTGTGTATGTGTCGTGAGCTTAAAGAACTTTTCTGATCCTTGTTGGTAGAAACAAGTTGTTGTTATTATTAACTATATGTGTAGCGTTAGAAGCAGTCGCAGCAGTTCGGTTTCTGTTTGATGTTGATGATCTGCAGTATGTTCATCTGTGAACTCAACTATGATCCATCCCGTGTGTTTGTATTTTGGTTTATGACCGTTAACTGAAATATCAGTATCAACTTACTGCTCATTATTCTGGCTATCAATCGTATACTTCATACTTGTATGAAATTCCCTCCCCTGCCCATGCTCTAGAAGAAATGATGTTGCTGCTGCTTCATCTAGGAAGGAAATGGACTTTCTCAGATGTCTCATGTTCGAGGATCTATAATGGAACTGGTTTAACTTTTATTACATAGGATGTATGTAGTGGAAGGATCAAACCAAGTTAGATATTTGATAGTATGACTGTACTCCACCATAATGATGCCCCTATCATTCTTCAGATCTTGACCTGAGCCAAACAATGATTTGATTATTAACTCGAATCATGAGCTCCCGATAAATGAGCCAAACTGCTAATGAGTGGTTCGAAACTTGGATCAGGAAAAACTCTTTCGACGATTGTCTTGTTTACTATTGAGTTGAGTTTCAGCCGATCTCTGGTCGGCTCGGAAGGCTTGGGAGTTGGGAGCCAGCTCGACTCAATGGTTTGTGGTGCTCAACTCTTTACTAGCTCGTTCTGAACTATGAGCTGGCTCAATAGTATGACTATTGAGCCGCATCAACTAATAACTCATGAGCTAATCAATTAATATCTTATCATTAGCTTAGAAGTCATTGGACAATTAAAATCATGAATTGGATGATATGATACATGAGCTCGATCCAATCTCGAGAGCTAATTGATGAGTCAAGCTCGAGTATTATAAACTAGATGATATGATACTTGAGTTTGAGCTGATCTCGAGTACAAATTGATGAGCCGAGCTCGACTAGAGCTCATGAGCTCAATAATGTCACTATTTTCATAAACAAATCGAGCTCGAGCTATACTCATTTATTAACAAGCGAGCTCAAGTTAGTTCAAAACTCAACTCTACAGCTCAACCAAACTGACCCAAAGTATTTATTTCAAATCCCGAATTGAAAATAAATATACCAGTTATGACTTATGACACCAGCTAGGCTATGGCAATGTAGCAGTTTTATGGAGGGGTTAACCCAAACCGATTTGTAATTTTGTATCTAGTTAAGCACAAAGTCGTAAATAGCTTATGAGGATCCCACTCACCTAACTGATTACTCTGCCTTCCTCGCCCTCATCTAAGGGTAGGAATTGGATCCTGATTTTTTGGTCAGATCGAAAATGTGACCATATAGTTCAGTTTGGTTATAATAAAAAATCGGATATATCACAATCTGGTTTGATTTACGATTACAAAGAAGGTTAAAAAAATCATCTTGATTCGGCCCTATTTAAAATTGGAAAATTGTAACAATCTCGACCACCCAGAGAAGAAACTAACTTCTACCAAAAAAAAAAAAGAAGAAACTAACACAACTCACCGAACCTAGTTGCTAGTGACAGTGAGCCCATCGTATGAACCTCATCGCCGTCCCAACCTTAACCATGCATCCATCATCCATGCCATGCCACAAACTTTGACCCAACTCGTCCCTCCTCCCCTAATGATAGATTAAGTATACCTCAAACCACAACCCTAATCGTCTAATCAGGAAATTTTCAATTCCAACCGCTCTCGTATCTCAGTATCTCACTCTCTTTACATTTTTCTTCTAATTTGCCACCACGAGACCAACCAGTCACATGACATCTCTCTCAGCATCTCACTCTCGTTAGATTCACTCATATGAAAAAATTCAAATGAAGGGACACATCATCAATTAATATGTTGAGCGTTGATTACTAACGATCAAAGTTAAAAAGAGTTAAAATTTTAGGACGCGGTTGTTAAAATCGAAAAATAGGCACCCAATTGTCAGGAAAGTTGAAACTATGGGTACTTTATCGGTATTAGGTCTTAAAAAATGACAAAAATAATCCGTTATCCATGCACGTGCCTTATAACACGCGCGACTGTGCGAGAAAGGGGTTGAAGGAAATAAAATCCCCAATAACGAACACAAATCGAAATCCCCATAACACGTCGTTGACTTTTGTGTAACTTTTACTAGTTTGATATTTTCTTATTTAAGAACTGTTTAAATTTTTTGATTATTAGTTTAATTTAATTTTCAAAAAAGTTATTACTCATTTTTCAAGGGACACCCCCTACATAAATTTTCTGGGTTTGCCACTGATATATAACATCACAACAAAATAACAGTTCGTACTTGGATCCAACATATAGTGAAAATTCAAACACAGCTCGTACTTCGCAAATCAAATGAAAAAAAAAACACCCGGTATGATCTCCAATTCGAGAACCTTGTTGCTGCAAATCGACTTGTGAGTGTGTGACGCCAGTTTTTCTCGCCAGATCAAAACGGGTCAACTCGCAGCCACAGGTCGTTGACAACCTTGTCTTTTACATCAGGTCCAACCTAATTAGAATCAAATTTATGATAATTAATTAAGTTACCTTATATAAAACAAGACCATATATATAATTTGTCATATAAGGGTACATATATATAGCTGGAGGAGACGCAAACCCTAAGATGAAACCACCGCTATACATACAGAGATAGACGAAGCTGGAGGGCAGCCGTTCAAAATCACAAAACAATGGTCGAGCCGAAGGACAGGGTCTGCGAAAGGCAAGGGATGGAAGAACCTCCTTCACCCAAAAAGCAAAAGGTGGAAGAAGGTGTGCCTGATCATCACGATGAGAAGCCGCCGCAGCCTCAGCCGCAGCAGGGCGGTGCGGCGGAGCCGCCGTCAGCGCCATCATCCTCCTCCTCCGTTTCATTGGGTGATCCGTCGTCTCCTCACCCGGTGGTTGGACTCGATCCTGCGAACAAGTATTATAAGAAAATGCTGAAGTGGCTGGATGCTGAATTAGAGTGGGTGTCGTCGTAATTCACGTTTGTGTTCGCTAGCTGTTTACATTCATTTATGGTGTTTTGTTGAAATGTTTAGTACTCGTTGATTCGATTATTTGCTTGCCGGTGTTAAAATTGATTTGATCTCATGACGAATCGATGATCTGATTCAATGTCTTATATATATACATTGTAGTTCGCCGCCGGACAATGAAGAACTGATGAGAAAGGACAGCGCCTGCGTTGCAGAAGCAGCTTTGAAACATTACAACGAGAAGGAGGTATTATTGGGGTTTGCCCCCTATCCATTACTTCAATTCTTCAGTTCCCAGACCTCGATCGATCGAATTTCTTCGTTCTGGATGAACAGGGGACGAAGTATGTGTTTGATGAACCCTTCCTCTGCTGTTGCGTTCTTCTTCACCCATTAGTGATACTCCATGCCAACTTCACTGCTAGGGAAGTAAACAGCGATTCCAGTGACCTGTTTTTTGGTGAGGCAGTACAATACCTTGGGGGAGGTTCCAAGGTTCTTAACTGTGTCAAGGTAGATCCTTTTGCAAAGGGTAAGCAGTACTTATTATGTTAGTTATGTTATGTATCATACATCCATCATCTTAATTATCAAGCTTGCTGTGTAAATTGCCCATCTTGTTTAATTTGTTTGATTGATTGAGATTCTTGATGCTCATTTTGTTGTTTGGTGTAGGTGGTGACCGCAACGGTTGCGTCTACTGTCGGAAAGACATCATCCACCCTCCTGTTGAACACTGCGAGTACGGGTCGAATGCGTTGGTTGATCAGAGGAAGCTCCAACACAAGACAGTGAAACCCAAACCGTCCAACCAGTAAAATTCCCCTGTTGGTAGCAGCACCATTCCAAATTTTGACAGTGATCTCTTACGCAACAGTTAAATTAGAAGCATTATGTAAAACTTTCGTAATGACTTATTACTTTACGTAATGTGAGATAAATATTCATTACGTAAAAGAAACCTCCATTACGTAAGGCTTCCGTAATAAGATTTTACAACTGTTACGGAAGATGCACATACGTTACGTAATCATTACGTAATGCAACCTGTGAAACCTGCTATAGCAGATAAAAAAATCAAGTTACTTACTTCAAGGCATTGTAGGAATTCGTGTGTGTCGTGAGCTTAAGATCAACCAATAATATTCGTAACCTTTACTTTCGCATATGTACGACTTAGTGAATGGGCCTTTCAAAATGGCCCGGCAAGGCTTTAGGGCCCAAGCCCGTATTTGAATCTTTGGATCATGGGAATAGTTCCTATGGAGAAGAAGCTCCATAATTGGACCGGATTAAATAAACCCCGACCACGCGGCCCACGTTCTTGGGCCAATATCTTCAAGATAGGAATAAAACTAGAGTCGGAGAGCAAACTGTTATGAAATAACAAGGAAGAGGAACATACACAAGAGTAAGAGTAGAGACACAAGAAGAGAGGGGGAATAGAGCTTTCTTATTCATGTGTTCCTTAGTACAAGGAGACCATCTATTTATAGGCACACATCACATAACCTCTACATTCTTACAATCAATATACATGAATGTGAGAATGAATGTGAAATAGAAATGGGGTGGGGGGTTACATGTAACACCCAATTGTGCAACTAATGTGTCATATGGAGAATAAATATAAGGAGATGAGTTACATAGAACTTGTAACATACCATGGAGCATCTAATGTTGGTCATCCATAATAATAATAATATTTTCATAACACTCCCCCTTGGATGACCATTAGACATGAAGATGCCTCGTTAAAACCTTACTAGGAAAAACCCTGTGGGATAAAATCCTAGTGAGGGAAAAAGAGTACATAATCATCATAATACGCTATTTGAATCTGCCTCGTTAAAAACCTTACCAGGAAAACCCAGTGGGAAAAACCATGGTTAAGGAAAAAAGAGTGCAGTGCGTATATGCTCCCCCTCATGACAACATCAAAGTATAGTGTTGTGAACAAATCTTTCAAATCTTCTCATGGTAAGCTTCTTAGTGAACAAATCTTTCAAATCTTCTCATGGTAAGCTTCTTAGTGAACAAATCTTCTAGATTGTCACTTTATGCATGATCCATTATGACCATTTTCTTCATACATGATCTTCAAGATCATTTTTTATGAAGAGAATCTACAACTACAAGTCATTTAGACGTGTTGAATCACAAATCTTAACCAAACAATTCATAACAAGTCTCATGAATTGTTGACC